GATAGTTTGCACAGTTCTCAGATATTTGAATCTTGGCTTGTGTCTGCCTTATAAAAGTGCTGTCACTTAGAATATTGGGGATATTGCTTTATGTACAAATTAATATTTGTATTAACTTCCAGTTGCTAATTAAGCTAGATCTAGATCAGAAGAGCATTTTATAGCATGAAACCACATCTGTAAACTTGTAGTTCAAGCCACTAGAATGGACAAGTTGACTTGTGTTAGGCTGTATGTGAGAGGAATGTATGCTGAAAGAGAAGTTCACCACAAAGCAGAAGTTCAGCACAAATTTTCATGTCTTTGAGACATAAATGGGTTGGAAGACATTACATACCACTTAACATTGGATGGCAGCCCAGAGGTGAATTTCATTCTAAAGGCTTTGTGTAGAATCACTAAACAGCAAAGCTACATAAGAATTAATTTGATTAACGTTGATAGACTAATAATGGCAGCCTGAGAAGGTAGGAGTTTGTTTAAGCCAGGTGTCACATCACCAGTGTGATGGTGCAAAAATGATTGCAAGAACAAGGTGTGGTTGTCTTTGCTTATTAATATATTTTAAAAAGTTTTTTAATGTTATGATATGGCAGTTATATATCATATTAACAATAATGTATCAATATTAATTAATTAGTAGTTTGTTGAAAAAGGAATATAGTACATGTAATCACAAAGTTATAATCTTTTATATAAAAATTTTTTCTACCATGTATGAGAGTGCTCAGATCAAATACAAATCAATAGTTGCTTTTTTTTTTTTTTTGTTAAAAGACCTATGCTGATTTAAATTATAGATTAAGCAATACAAGGATATCTGATATCATTGTATGCATACATATATATATGAATCAGAAATAAAGAACTTCAATCCATCACTGGAAGTATTTCTTTTCAGTTCCAAGTTTTTTCTTTATTCCCTGGGTGCATGGAAACCCTTGACAGTTTCAATTCACAGTACTTTGCATAGTTATACTATATACACATACATTTTTTTTCCTTTTCATTCATTCTTCTCTACTTGTTCTTTAAAAATCAAAATTTGAGGCAATTCTGTTTCACCTGATGTTACTCTTCACCTTCATGTATATCAGTCCTTCCTTTGCTGATACTAGGAGTATTGTTCCTGGAAAAAAATACAAGTTGCTGTCTCATTTGTGACTGTACTCTTACCTGAAAATCAAATTCACAGGTAGTCTCATTCCACTGTATATGCTAGGCAGAAACCAAAAGCTCTGGGGCAGAAATGCGTTCACTGTGAAACCATCATGAGCAGTTTAACATACTTTTTGACATTGTATTGAAGTCAATCAGAGATGATGGATGTTCAGTCCTCTCATCTACCTGTCCCATATATCATTCTCCCAGTCTACCTAAATTCTCAAACTGGTGAGTTTGCACTGCCATTACTTTAAAGTCTGGGTGACTTTTGGATGGCTGGCCCATAGCATTGGCCACTGAGACATCACGTAAGAGCTAGAACAGGATAACCATGGATTCTTAATTCACCTGCGAGGAACTTTATAAATGCTCTTAGACCTTTTCAGTGCAAAGTCTTTGAAAGATATGAAGATTTATCAAACTTGAGTATTGATAATTTAGGGCTGAAACTGGATCTCAGAAACAGGCTTCATTACAGCTATCTCATATACAAGAAGTGCTTGTAAATTCAATCTGGCTACTGCTGTTAGAGACAATAAAATGTTTTTACAAATGCACAAACAGGAAAAAGAGGTCTAAGGGGAATCTCCATCCTTTATGGGATGTGGAGGGAAAAGTAATGCCAAGAGATGAGGAAAAGGCTGAGGTACTTAATGACTTCTTTGTCTCAGTCTTCAGCAGAAAGACCAGTTATTCTCTGGGTACCCAGTCTCCTGAGCTGGTAGATAGGGATGGGGAGCAAAATGAAGCCCTCATAATCCACAAGGAAAAGGTTAGCAACCTGCCAAGCTACTTAGACATATGCAAGTCTATGGAGGCAGATGGGATCCACCCAAGGGTACTGAGGGAGCTGGCAGAAGTGCTCAACAAGCTGCTTTCCCTCATTTATCAGCAGTCCTGGCTGTCAGGGGAAGTCCCAGTCAACTGTCAGCTATCAAATGCAATGGCCATTTACAAGAAGGACTGAAAGGAGGATCCAGGAAACTACAGGCCTGTCAGTCTGACTTTGGTGCCAGGGAAGCTTACAAAGCAGATTATCCTGAGTGCCACCATGCAGCATCTACAGGGCAACCAGGTGATCAGGCCCAGTCAGCATAGGTTTATGAAAGGTGAGTCCTGCTTGACGAAACTCATCTCCTATGACAAGGTGACACACTCAGTGAATGAGGGAAAGACTGAAGTCTACCTAGACTTCAGTTAGGCTTTGACACTGTTTCCCACAGCATTCTCCTGGAGAGGCTGACTGCTCAAGGCTTCACTGGGTGAAAACCTGGCTAGGTGGCTGGGCCCAAAGAGTTTTGGTGAATGGAGTTAAATCCAGCTGGAGGCCAATCACTAGTGGAGTCCCCCAGTGCTCAGTACTGCGGCCATTTATCTTTAATATTGCTATCGATGATCTGGATGAGTGGATCAAGGGTACCCCCAGTAAGTTTGCAGGCAACACCAAGTTGGGTGTGAGTGTTGATATGCTTGATGGTAGGAGGGCTGTATGGAGGGATCTGGATAGGCTGGGGTGCTAGGCCAAGGCCAACTGTATGAGGTTGAGCAAGGCCAAGTGCCAGGTCCTGTACTTGGGGCACAACTACCCCACGCAACCCTACAAGCTGGGGGAAGAGTGGCTGGAAAGCTGCCGGGCGGAGAAGGAACGTGGGAGTATTGATCAATAGCTGGCTGAACACAAACCAGCAGTGTGCTCAAGTGGCCAAGAAGGCCAACAGCATCCTGGCTTGTATCAGAAACAGTGGGGCCAGTAGGTCTAGGGAAGTGATTGTCCTTCTGTACTCAGCTCTGGTGAGGCTGCACCTCAAATACTGTGTTCAGTTTTGGGTCCCTCACTACAAGAAGGATATGGAGATGCAGCAGCATGTCTAAAGAAGGGCAATGATGCTGGTGAGGGGTCTAGAGAACAAATTTTAGGAGGAGCAGCTGAGGAAGCTGGCATTGTTTAGCCTGGAGAAAAGAAGGCTCAAGGGAGACATTATCATGTTCTACAATTACCTTACAAGAAGCTGTAGCAAGGTGGGGATTGGTCTCTTCTCCCCAGCACCAAATGATAAGATGAAGAAAATGGCTCTAAGTTGCACCAGGGGATGATTCAGTTGGGTATTAGGAAGAATTTCTTCACTGCAAGGGCTGTGAGGCATTGGAACAGGCTGCCCAGGGAAGTGGTTGAGTCACCATCCCTGGAGGTCTTCAAAACACGTGTAGATGTGGTGCTTAGGGACATGGTTTAGTGGTAGACTTGGCAGTGCTAGGTTAAAGGCTGGACCAGATGGTCTTAGAGGTCTTTTTCAACCTAAGTGATTCCATGGTTCTGTGCTGCAAGACTTCAGGAATCTCAGCTTGTGTTTTGTTTTTCATGGTCTTTCTCCAAGTCCTTCTAATAAAATTTAATTACAATTTAAATATGTTGTTATCAGTTAACCTCTGGTGTGTGGTAATGTGGGACCTGTTTATACCCTAAACCTCACAGATGACATTGGCAAATCTTACTATTGTTATAACTGTAGCTATGACAAGTGTAAGTGCTTCCCAGTGTAGCTGTGAAAGTTCTGGGTCATCATAATCCCATCAGTCAGTGTTGTCAGAGTTCTTTTTTTTTTCTCTGCCTTCTGTGTGCCTCACCACCTTGCAATCATATCTTCCAGTAATTTAGCTTGTGTTTTCAGAGTGCTAATTAATGGCTTTCAGCCCTGGCAACACTGGTGCAATATGCACAACTATTTACATATACAAGGTAAGTAGTAACACAGAAACCTTATTCTCAAAAATCATGCTGATAATAAACTGTCAATATCTTTCTGTTCTCCAGTAGTCCCTAAGTAGTCCATGTTTTGAACACTTAGAGCATTTTAACATTTTTCTCAAGAAAAATGCAGCTCCCTCACGAGGGGAGCGGAGGGGCAGGCGCTGAGCTCTGCTCTCTGGGGACAGCGACAGGACCCGAGGGGACGGCATGGAGCTGGGACAGGGGAGGGTCAGGCTGGGGGTTAGGGAAAGGGTCTGCACCCAGAGGGGGGTCGGGCACTGGGACAGGCTGCCCAGGGCAGTGGTCATGGCACTGAGCTGCTGGAGTTCAAGAAGCCTTTGGACAATGCTCTCAGACATGGAGTCTGATTTTTGGGTGGTCCTGTGTGGAGCCAGGAATTGGACTCGGTGATCCCTGTGGGTCCCTTCCAACTCAGGATATTCTGTGATTCTGTGATTCCATCGAGAGAAACCTGGACAAGCTGGAGGAATGGTCTGACAAGAACCTCGAGAAGTTCAACAAGAAGTGCAAAGAGCTGCACCTGGGGAAGAACAGCTGTAGGTGCTGGGAGCTACCCAGCCTAGCAGAAAATGGCCTGGCAGTCCTGGTGGACACCAACTTGAACATGGTGTTCTGACCGTGAGCAGTTGTTTAGGAAAAGTCTGCAAGACCACCAGGTCCTCATTATGCTTCTATTTTATTTATTTATTTATTTATTTATTTTATTTATTTTATTTTATTATTTATTTTATTTTATTTATTTAACTGCTGCAAGCTTGTTATTCAATGTTGGTGATTTTGACTTTGTACAATTTTGGAGTCAGTAGCTATTATTGGATGGCCCTTTGCCTTATTTCCATCTCATAAAGCCTAGGCTACTGTTGTTTTTCCTTTGAAGCATATGTTTGCTCTGTTGGCAAGTTATCGAATGTAATATTGTGTATGTGATTTGCTGTAACCCTTTTGCCACTATCCTGATGTTAGGTTGCAGGGTCTTCCACTGTTCCTGTCAGATTGCAGGCCCAATGGTCTTGACAAAAAAGCAGTCTCTGATTTTACTGCTATGAAAATTGTCCTGGGTGTTGTCTCTTAGAAATGGTACTCTGTGCTATCAGTCCAGGCTGTTCTTTTAACCCTTCTGCTCTTCTTCCCAGTGCTTTGACATATACATTTCCTTTCATGCTATGTTTGAACCAATTACCTGATTTGCTGTGTTGCAAATTTCTGCAGTTTTACAGGACAAAGAGCTTCAGTTATTCTGTACTTGGTAAATTAGGGAAGTACTATTGCCAAAGCTGTCTGGACTCATCACTGTGTCTTAGAATAACTACAGAATACTGAAAGGAAATAATTCAATTCAATTCAATTCAATTCAATTCATTATTTTATTTTATTTTGTTTTGTTTTAATGATGCAATAAAGTATTTCATATTTTTCAAATGTAAATGCAGAGTTCAAAAATAGTTCCATAATGTTATGAGTCCCATGGTAGTTTGTAAGATATTGAATTAAATGAAAATCTCACATTTTTAAAGTTACTTTAGTCCTCTTGATTGATCAGATGATTTAGATTTGAAATGTAAATGCTTTTAATGAAGGCAAGTAAAACTTTACCATTTTCTATGAGATAAATGTACAGTGGTTGTGTTGGGTGTTTTTTAGATCCAACTGATTTTTTTTTATATATATTTTTTTTTTGTTCGTTTGTTTGTTTGTTTGTTTGTTTTGCCCTTTGAAGAGTTTGGGCTGGCAAAATTGCAGCCTCAAATGTTTAAGCTTTTTAATGTTGAGGGCTTATGACAGTGCTGGCAGTGTATTTTGTAAGAAATACAAAATCTACAAACATGGATTTTCAGGTTGGTAATTTTTGACTATTAGAAGTACACTTCAGTTTTCTACTAGTACCTCTGTTGGGAAAACAAAACAGGTCTCAGGTAGTGTTAGCTGTATCATCATATTTTGTCATCATTATCTGTAGAGATGACTCAAGCCAGCTGCAGAAGAGTCAGAAAATTCACCGTTGTGCTCCTCATTCACTGTCCTTTTCCTCAAATCATAAAACTCCTCATCATAGTGTTCACATTGCAAAATGCAGCTACCATGCAGGCAGATGGTGACAATTATCTAAATGTTTACAAAGCTTTAAAGTAAGGGCCTAAGTTCACCAGGGAGTTCATAAATCCCTCTACTATATAGGGAACTCACTGAGGGCTTAAGACAACAGCATCATTACAGTAAGCATTTAATTTTTTCTAATCCTTTCTTTGATGCAGACTTGCCCTTTAATGCAGCCTTTTCCCCTTCGGCTTACGTTCTGTGCTTGAATGCTTTGAAGTTGGCAACAGTAAACATTTATGACTTAGGTGTTTTGTTTGAGCCTGTTTTGATTTCTAGACAACTGCTACTGGTCTGCCATCCAGCTGGTTGATCTTTCTTGGTTCCTGTTATGTTTTTATTTCATTTTCACATGTCTTGCCATGTGCCAGATACCACCATCATCTTCTCATTTTTTCCAAGTAGCTTTCTGCAAGTGAAGAAACAAACAAAGAAAAAGAAAAAAAAAAAAAAAAGTATAAAAGACAGCATTTCACTTTCTAGATCTGGAATTTAAAAATAATAATTGCCTTCATGGACTATAGCATCGTTTAATTTTCATTTTAAAATTGCTTCTTGGTATATAACAATATCTAGCAAAGAGAAAATTATTACCTATTTTACTTGTAGGCACTGCTCTGCATGATTCTGCCTATGCTCAAGGCAAGGTCAAAGAATGGGGCTGTGAAGATAAAACGTTGGCTGATACGGTTTGCATTGTTCTTGGTTTACAGTTCTGCAGTCCTTGTCACAACAAAACTCAGTACAGAATATAAACTCTTACACAGAGAGATTAAATAGCTAATGACTCAAAACCAGTGAAGACTCTGTAATAATTTTGTGCTTGTTTTTTAACATTTTTATTTTTCCTAGAAAGATTCACCGATTTAAGGAGAAATGATTGCTTGCTGCTTGCATAGTCCGGCTTCTCTGAATGGCTGCTTTAGTGACATTCTGGGTTTGTCAGCTCAAAGGCAGTTTTGAGCTTTGCTGGCCTGAGCTCTGCCAAATTTGAGAGCACAAAATGACATGCTGCCTGAGGCTGCTACCTCTTTTTTTCTTACTTTTTGCTGTCCTCAACTTATGGTAACCCTATTAAACACAGCTTTATAGAGGTAAGGCAAAAGGCCTCTCAAGGATTATAACACAAATCAGTACATTTAAACGTGCCGTCAAGAACAGGCTTTTTGCTGGCTCTTTGCTGGCTGTTTCTGTAGTTCTAATTATTGTTAGAGAAAAACGTGTGACTGATTCTACGAGTACACTTGCAATTTCTTCATTTTACTCCATTATGGAAATTCCAGTGTCTGATCTTTCAGGCAAGACAGGAATAACAATACAAAATTGTGTTTTGTTGTTGTTGTTTTGAAGACTATTAATTTGGTTAATTTTTAAAGAAAGGAGTTCTACTAAGCATTTCATAAATACTATTAGAAAAAAAAATATATTGTGCTAAGACTCCCATACATTACTGTTATTAGCAAGATACTTGTTTGCTCAAGTGGACTAAGATTTTGGTCCTAAAGCCAGCATTGTTTTGGGCATGAGAAGACACAATGCAATGCCATCACTGAAGTTTCCATCATGTCTGGATTATAAGGTTATAAGGAGGGATGACTTGTGAAGGAATGACTTTTGAAACAAATATTTCTGTGTCATAAACAAGTAATATGAATCCACTATAAATGCAGTTTATAGATTATATTTAACTGCCTACAGATATATAGACCCAGGGCTCCCCCCCTACCATTAGCTAGTAACCTACCAACAGTCTTGGAAGTAAATGTCAATTTCAGAGGATGAAGTTTCTTTTGTGTTTGATGTGACCAACTGTAACTTCTGTGGTGAGCTACTTCAGAAAAAACATGCACTGTATTTGCTCATACTGTATCTAGTGTAACAGAAAATGTATTAAACTCTAAGGTTGTCAAGCCTCACTGTTCAAAGCAATAAAATCAGGTGAAAAAATAAAAAGCATAAGCTCTCCTTCTGGTATTATCTGTTCAGCCAAGACAGAACTTATTTAAAAAAAAAAAAAAAAAACAAAACAACAAACAAAACAAAACAAACAAAAAAAAAAAACAGTTAAAAGAAACTTCAAAATGAGAACCTCCTCCCCTCACCTCTCTAGTATGTACTTCAATACACAGCAAGCAAAGCAGCCTCCAGCAATAGCAAGAAAGAAATCCACAGAGTACTTCCCACACTGCTCCCTGAGGCCTGAAATGTAAAACAGCCTCCCTCTGTGAGAAAGTGACTAAATGCAGTCTCTGTAAGATAGACCTGTGTTAAGCCATCATGAGTGTAAAACTTCATCTCTGTCTTCATGTCTTTGGAGTGTGAATAGTGTTGCATTAAACAGTCAACCTAAAAAACACAAAGAATATTAATGTGATATCTGGGCTTTTTAAAAGAAAAAAATAAAATAAGAAAGAAAAGAAAGAAGAAAGAAAGGAAGAAGGAGAAGGAGAAGGAAGAAGGAAGAAAGGAAGAAAGGAAGGAAGGAAGGAAGGAAGGAAGGAAGGAAGGAAGGAAGGAAGGAAGGAAGGAAGGAAGGAAGGAAGGAAGGAAGGAAGGAAGGAAGGAAGGAAGGAAGGAAGGAAGGAAGGAAGGAGGAAGGAAGGAAGAAGGAAGGAAGGAAGGAAGGAAGGAGGAAGGAAGGAAGGAAGAAAGAAAGAAAGGAATAAAAGGAACACAGCCAAATGATCAGGTTAAGAAAGGGAAAGAAAGAACTGATCAGATAAATGACCAGGCAAAGTTAACATTATAGGTAGTTTTCCACTTGGGCTTCCAGCCTTCTTCCAAAGGTTCTCCTGGGGGAGAGCTCCTAAAATATAGCAGGCTCTGTTTGCCTAGCAGTCTTGACTCAAGAGAAGTACAAGTGAGCTCTGTTCCAAATGTTCTTTTCTCCTCCTATAAAGAAATGATCAAATCCCAGGAAACACGTACTTTTGTCTGACCTTCAGTAAGTCAGTACTGGGGAATGCTGAATGAACTTAAAATTAAAAAAAAAAAAAAAAAAGTCAAGATAATCCCCTATTTCCCAGTGACTTGAAATGGAATAATCATGAATCAGAATACATCATAAGAGTGACTAAGGAAACTAATGAAATATAGAAAGGAAAGAGCAAGATCTAATATGAGTTCATATGGAAAACAATGTCTCACACAGGAAAACAGCTTCAGGAGAGCAACAGCACAGGAGATGAACTATGTCAGAGGATGAACAGAGACCAGAAATGCAATGTAAAGTGAATAAATGTTAATTGCCACAGAAGAGAATTCCTATGATATTTAATGAGTCAACAGCACTGCTCAGTGGAGAAGCTGACATCTCCTGAAGGTGTCCCAGTGGTGTAGAGTTTAAAGGTATACAGCAATGAAAGATCTCAAGTTGTCCATTTACCCTCTTCCTACCCTATCACCATTGGAATAGGGAAGAAAATCAGTGTGGGGCAAGCAAATAGATTTAACACTGTGCAGATCTGGGGAGCAAGCACCAAAATCAGTGAGACCTCACTGTTCCACTAAAGCTGGTCTGACACTCTTTAACTAGAATAATTGGGTTTGACAGTTTTACAGGAATTCTGTCACCAATACGACCATGCTTCCTGAACACTGACCAATCCTAGAAACCAGCAAAGTAACTCTATTCAAGTGGTCATTACATTCCCAGGTGGTTCCTGACTTCTGCTACCATTTTCTCTGAAAATAGTTTACCTTGGAATACTTTTTTTTTCTTTGTTTTTCAGTTGCTGGGGATTTGGAATCTCTGTTCTGTCTGTCAGTCTGAAAGAATCTTTGAGAAGCGTCTCTCATTCGCAGCCTCTTACTTTTCTTGTTCATGTCTCAGAAGATCAAATTCCATCTGATTTTAATAAGCATAACTTTAGCCTACCAGTCCTCACTTAAGGCAACTTTTTATTGGGGTATTCTGTCTTATATGGAGTAGCAATCATTTACACAGTCATTTAAATGCTAATGGTGTTAGTAGACATCTCTAGTTTGACAAGGGAGGATTTTTAGTCAAGTTCAGTACAGGGTACAGGGTGCTTTCTCACTTGCTGGAATTGCAAAGTGAGTAAAAATGGATGAGAATAGCAAAATGAACTCCAAAAAGCAATACGGTCACCAATTCAGCCTGCTTATTTTCTAGATCTCTTCTAACACATCCTGGAAAGAATAAGGTACTTTGCTCTTTTTTTCCAAAGCTAAATCAGGGACAAACCAGGGTGAAGTACCTCAGAACACCTCTCTTGAGGCTGTCTAGAAACATATTTCATTTTCCACTATGAATTCAGCAGCTGCACTTCCCACAAAGCTAGTACTCTACTACCCTTTGTTTTGAGTAGAAACCGTGAGAACAGGATGAGATAAAATGAAGAGTAGGGCTTTTTTTTTTTCTTCACTCTTTTTTCTCATCTGGTTACATGCTTTTGATTTTGTTTCTGGTTTGATAAGCCTGAAAAGATAATATATATATATATATATTTTTTATTCTGACTATCCCGCAGTATGAGCTGTTACTTCTGTATTACCATTCAGTAGCAGTTCTTCCACTGTTAAACTGCTAGCTTCATCCCCACTTCAAATGAATGATGACTGCCAATGAAAGTTTGTCTTTTTATGTTTCTAATTCAAACAATACTATTGTGAATTGCCTTCTCTTTTAAGTAGGAATGTGGTTCAACAGGAATCTCCAGAAGACCTCAAGAAGGTTCTTTGGTACCTTTGTAGACTTGAAGCTCCTGGGATAGTGCACTGCAAAACAGAGCATGTTGATAACTTGCCTAGATGGGCAGATGTGATGCATGACATGCGTATATATCCATAAATATACACACAGAGATACACAAAAATGTAAGTGGAAAGCCAGAACTCAATAAGTATATGTTGGATCCAAGCTTGGAGGAAACATCTGTAACTTTTGTTCTGTTGTCTAATGCTGGTTTTTAGTTGTTAGTTCCAGGGATACAAGAGTTAAAAGAGCAACAGGTCTAAATTGCTCCCATGTAACACAAATAGATTGTTTTCTAGTGTGAGGATAGCACCAGTGAGTTGAGAATCTTGTCTTTTTGAAGTTACAACATCAAATCCTGTCATGAGGAAACAGGTAATATGAAGCTCTTGACATATGAATATTATTCAGATTCCTCTGATTCACTTGAGTGTGTTCCAGTATTTAGGTACCTGGGGGAAAAAAAAAAAAACGTTGTAACCTATATGTAATTCTGACTCCTAGCCCCTGTTGTAACTTCTCAGGACTTATTTGCACATTTAGTTCACACACTAAACCTTTATGTTATTCCAGAGTGGTTTCCATATGTATAGCCTCCTCCTTAGTTGTGATAATACCATTCTTTATAAATAGCTCAAGAGTGGGTTGGTTAAACCTCAGGTCAGCACAAAGTATTAGCTGCTGACAGAATGGCTCCAAGGTGTAGCTACAGGACAGCACAACTGCTGTGACATGAGCTCTCCTGTGTCTTCCCACACATCTTTTCCCTCCTGTTGAAAAAGAGCAGACAACATAGTCCAGAGTGACTTGGTAAAGACTTCAGCATCTGAGCATCTGACTGTGCATGTACAGCAGGGCTTGTAATTTTGGGTCTTGTTCCAAGAAGTCCAAATGAAGTGAAGTGCAATGCAGACTTGATAAAACAGCAGTAAAATTGCTCTGCAGCTGCTCTTACTGATAGCTGGTATGCCCTGCAGGAGAAAATTATGCAACTCTTTAGGTAAACTGGGGGGGAGGAATTTTAAAAAAATCAAAAAAAAAAAAGTCTGAGTTTTTAGTTCAAACTTCATTTCAGTGGTAATTCACCATCTGGAAACACACCATCTCACTGCTGCTTCCTGTATCTGTAGGAAGCATCACTGCACTTGCTCAAGTGGAACTATGATTTTTTTTCCATGTGGTCTATCAATATATATTTTCCTTTCTTCACACTTACTTGTACTTGCTGTATTTAAAGAGGTGTAGTTAGTCTATCTCTCCTCGCAGCAAGGGTACTTGAGCTACTCCCTTGATCACATTTGTCCTTTCTTTAATGCTGGCGTCAAGATGTCATTCACCACCTCACTTTGCTATGTCATTTGTTTATGTCCATTTCATCCATAAGGAGCACCACACAATAACAGCAATTAGAAACTATATTTCATAGACCTAATTATAGCTGTTGTAGACTATTGAACCATGAAAAGAGTAGACAGAGAATGCAGATGAATAAAGATACTGGCACAGCATTATTGTATGATTTGTGGTGTGAAACATTTTCTCCCCTTTCTCACATACACTGAAGGCCCTTGCTCAGACACAGTTTTATTGTAATATATGCTTTGTTCCTCCACGGATTAGTTTTCAAAAATTAATTTCAAACAGGAATCAGGATAATAATTTTTGTTTGTTCATTTGTTTTGCTTTCTTTCTTTCTCAGTGGGAATTGTAGGCAGATTTAATATACAAAGGGGAAAAAACCTCTAGAGGGGAATCACACCTCCACACATCCAGACCTGCCCATCTGGTGTTGACTCATGGAAAACTGACTCTTCAATCAGTAAGACTGTAAAGTAGATGTGTTTATTCAGTGCTGGGCAGCACAGGGGGTAGTCCTACTGAAGTTGTATGCATCCTAAAGTGGCAACTTGCTTTGCTTCTATGCAGTCTTCATCCTCACGGCCCTCAGCACCCACCCAGAATACAGTGCACAAGCACAGATGGGAGGAGTTTATGGAAATGACTTGTTGGACCTAATTTTAATACTAAGTGGGGACAGGTTATGAATATGTATAGGCACACTGAGAATATTCACACTGCATAGAAGCAAAGCAAGTTGCCACTTTAGGACGCACATGACTTTGGTGGGACTACCCCCAGTGCAGAATAAACTTACCTACTGTACAATCTTACTGATCGTTGAGTCAGTTTTCCACGAGTCAATGGTGGCTACAACACCTTCTTCATTACAATGGGAGGGCAGTGTGGAGGACTCTTTTTCCAGAATCAGATATGTTTTACTTAATATTGTAATAGGATATTGGGATAAGGTCTAATTGAGGCATGTTCGCTGCATGGATGAGAAGTAAGAATGCTTAAATAAAGAAAACAAAATATGACTAATAGCTCTGCTATTAGTTAATATATGTTCTGAGTTAATATATATTTATTAGTTAATTTATGTTCTTGCATTTTCATTAAATACTGTTCATAGAGTGAAAATGCAAACTTAAGTGTTTGTTTGGTTGGTTTTACCCTCTTTTGGGACCTCAGTAAATAAAATGTTGAGGTTATTCCTCTCTGTACAGAATAGTTGCATCTGAACTGGGGTGAAGAACTAGTGTCTCATTTCAGAGCTGACTCACTGAGCTGGTAGACAAAGCTGTGCTGGGTAAGCTTTACAATCAAAGAGAATAGCTCCTTGAGCAGTAGGTTATAACTGCTTACCTAAAGACAGATAAAGACATGCAAGAGTATGAGAGAGAAAATTTTGAATAATGCAATGTTGCTTTTACCTAGGACTTTGTTATTGTAAATTGCTGACTCTCTTTGGTGCCTGGACATTTTGTCTCCATTAAAGAAACGCAAATAAGGAAGTAAACATAAGTAGCCCTGACAACACCTGATAGAGAGAAAGGAGGAGAAGAGAGCAAACAAGTCCAATTGCTTGATAAAGAAGGAGCAAACCAGAAAATATTTTTACTTGATTAAAAAAAAAAAAAAAAAAAAAAAAAAAAAAAAAAAAAAAAGAAGAAGAAAGAAAGAAAGAAAAAAAAAAGAAAAAAAAAAAAAAAGAAAAAAGAAAAAAGAAAATAAAAGAAAAAGGAAAAAAGAAAAAAGAAGAAAAAAAGTTCTGATTATTTAAATGTCCATCTTGAGTTCAATATTCAATACATATGTTTCAGTTACTGTGAGTCTCCAGTGTGTTTCTCTGTGTTTTGTTTTTTCTTTTTTTAAATAAGCTCTGTCCAAGAAGTTCAACTAAATTCAGCATTGCTTTGCAGAAGTCTAAAGTGCCCCTACTCAATGCCTTTGCTTTGTGCTTGAAAAGTAGCTCCTGGTGGGAAACACAAGCATGTAGTCATCAGTCACTGTCTGCATGTAGTGACTGCAGTCATCAGCAGGCAGATCCATCTCAGGGAGATGTCGCTGCCAGCTTTTCCAAGATACTCAGGAATCGGAAATTGGAGGCCTGGGGGGAATCCAAAACACAAGTCAGTCCTTTGGTGATGCAGGTCGCAAAGCTGAGATTTTCCTCACTACATGAACCAGAAAGGTGAAGGCCTGACCACACCTATCTGCTGGTAGCTTCTTCAAATAGACATAGATCACAGTTTAAAAATAAATACTTGTATTGAAGAAACTATTCGTGTTCTTCAGGACACAAGGGCACATATTTCACTGCATGCCTGTGAATGTGCTGTATTTGGCCCTCAAGACCCTGCAGTGGCTCAGACAGCCAGAATCATTGCTTTATGCTGCTCACAATTCACAGGCAGCAAAACATGCTGCCCCACACCACTGCACTGTGCAATCCATGTCTGGATATTTATGCCTCCCAAGGAAGCCAGCAGAAAGACAGTTGCTGAGAGAAGCATTTCTTCTGAGCACCTTCTTCACCAGCTGCCAGCTGCCTCCGGCTGCTGCCCTCCCACCGCTACCACACTGAGCTCTCCTCTAGCCTTCTGCATGCTCCAGAAACCTTTTTCTGTCTGGGTTACCCTTCTCCTCCTTCCCTCTTGCATTTCCGAGCTTCTATGTAACAGGTTGTTACTACTTGCATAGGTAAAAAATAGTGCAGAACCAGTACCCCTCCACCCACATTCTCTGGCTATTCTAATAGTAATGCAATAATCCAGTGCAACTGTAGCTAAATCTAGAAAAGACTGCTTTTACCTGTTACTGTGATGCTCTTTGAGGAGAAAACTGCTACCAGACAGAAACTAGTTCTGAACACGTCTGGATGGTACAGGATTAGTCTGCTACCTGATGAATTATTATTGCAATGCTACAAATGAAAGATGATGCTTTCTTACACACCTTTGTTTGCAGTGTTACCTGCTACCTATCAACTGTAGCATTTAGCTCAGGAAATCATTCTAATAAAACTAACCAAGCTCGTTTCAGTTTGCAGTTTTGCTGAACTGTATTTCTATCTGGAGTACTGGGACAAGCAGGTCATTATGAGGTGGGGAAAATACAGTGAGTAACAAATCTGTGGTAGCTACTGGCAACACCGTTGAATTCAGACTCTTTGGCTCAGTTTCTCCAGCTGTATAAATCCCCCAGGAAAAGTCTGGTTTGCAATTTTTTCTGCCCTTCCCTAATGAGACTTTTCTTAGTTTCATCTCAATAGCAGCTATGTAGTTTTGCAGTTATTCTGTGTGTTGCCTTCCCTTTTACTTTCTTATCCTTCCTGTTTAATGGTCTTTCGTGGGTTTTTCAGTTCTTCAACTCTGGGGAAGGTAAGGTGGGAAGAACAGGCCCCAAACACCCTGGCAGTACTCAGCCTGTGAAGACCTCAATGTTTTACAAACATCAGGTGTAATGTTGTTAAAAGACCTTTCTATAGGTTTTTAGTTATTCTAAGTGAAAGGTATACTTAACACAGTGGTGTAGCAAATGCAACAGCACATCTCAAGCCAGAACATTACAAACAGAGCTGTACAAAGGGCTTACAACATCAGACCAACTGGAAAGTCTGTCCCCTAGCCTCAGCCTCAGACCTTCATTCTGTCCATCCTCCTCTTTTCCTTGAGGTAACACTCTTAGTAATTTGAGAGGGGGAGTAGAGGCAGCAAATAAAATTAAGAAACTGAAGAAGGCTTTTGAAAATGCTTATCATTTTTCTTACCAATATGCTTGTGTATGTGCTTGATGGAGCTTGAAGGCAGCAGTGCTCCCTCCCATCACAGCCATGTGCTCCGGTCTGTAGCAGCTGCTCACCCACCTCGCTGTGACCTGTGAGCAAAGCTGAGCCAGGTAACACTGCCCTGCTCTTGCGCCACCTCAGCTGTGGTACGGGGAAACAAACGTGCAGTATCTCAAGTTGCTTTCTCATTTGAATACTGACTTTAGTGTCTTTTAAAGAAGAACTGCTTAGCTGAAACAGCATACTCAGAGTTTATTAGCTGAAAGGTGAATCATTGTTGTGTTTTCCTTCTAGTCCTGCTAAAACCCTCTAACAGTTTACTCATTATTATTTTTATTATTAATACTCCACTTCAGACATGAGGATGTGGCACTTTATTGTTGATACTAGTTGAATTAACATGCCTAAAAGTGTTTTGCAAGTATTTTTACTCCTGGTAAGTGGGTAATACCCTAAGAAGTAGTGAAAGTTAGCATGTAGATACTCATCTTGACAAAAACTTTCCAGAGTGAGTCAATGCAAATGTGTACAGCTAAGAGCAACCAGTTAGGCTTTCCTATTTCCTAAAATGTTAATGCTTATGCTGGTGAGCAGCATCTGTCTGTTTGAATGCTAATATGGGGCTTTGCTTCCTGTATTACATTGGTTATATTTTCGGTTTTGTTTCTTGTTTGTGATGTTGGCCAAATAATGAATGAAGCTTCATCTGTTTCCACAGCGGTCATGAATTTGATTTCATTAGTACTGAAATGGTCAGCTTAAACCTTTTGAAGGTTCCTGAATATAAGTGAATACATGTGAAAATTTAAATGTAGATACGGAGTTTGATGTATACATTTTGGAAAGTTATAGCTGTGTTTTTGTTCTTTGGTGTAAATTGGGGCTTGGCTTATGTAGTGTCAGAACAAATCAATGTAGATCGGGAATTTTGCAAAGTTACACAAGATTTATTTATTTATTTATATGCTAACCAGTGTAAAAAGGTTCATGCAGATTATGTGAGCAAAGGTGCCATGTACTGGCAAAGCATTGCCATCCTCATGCTATGATGCAGCATAAATTAGTTTTAAAAAATCAGCAGTATTGTAAAAGGCACACGCTTTGGCTCCTGGCTTGCCTGTGTCAGGAGAGTGAGAGCACTGCATCCTGCTCATTAGCACAGAGGCAACCTCAGCTGGCTTACTTATCTGGGAACCTCCCTCCAGAAGTCCTTGGTGTGCAATTGTTTCCACACATGTGAAAGAGTTTTCTCTTCGGAGATTTGTTGTCTTCTGTTTGCTGTTCTGTTAACCAAACTTAGAAAGTATGTTTTCAAATTGGCAGATACAATTGCTTTTGAACTCCTCTTTCGTTGTCCTCACACCCGATCAGTATGCAGTATTAATCCCAAATTAGCAGAAGCTTTTGCTTCAGAATAGGCATAGTGACTGCCTAATAGGAGAGTTCAGTTCTAGTAAAAGTGCCTAATATTAACTTGGCTGAATATCAGTTTCAGCCACTGCAGCATCAACCTGAGAATAAAAGCCTCATTCACTCAGATGGTCTTATTTATTAGCCTCTTAAAAGTTTCCATGAGTATGCAATCAGGACTTTTCAACAGAACTGCTATTTTTCTTCAGTTTTAGTCCTGCTCATATTTATTTAGAGAGGAGGAAAGTCGGTGTCATTAGTCAGGTCCCTGTAATTGTTTTGCTTGGAATGATCGCTTGCAGATAAAAGTGAATAGAGGTGACTTTAGGACCAAAATGCAGTGAGATGGAATACTCTTTACATTCAACAAATTCCCTTCAGATGGATACAGACATGACAGGGCTGGGCTAGAGTTTCAGATGTGGTACTTGTGGTCAGGGTACTTATGAATATTAGCATATTTAGAAGGAAAGATGCATTCCTCCAAAGCCGATTGATGCCATGAAAGCAGACAAGAAACACTGGTGAGAGCCTCCTGCTCTGTGTGATGTGTGTTTCCTGAGGGTTATCTACTCTGGTGGAGCCGTCTCGCTGTGGAGTACGGTGTACTTCCATGATACCATCCTTTTTCATCCTGTGGGGATGAGGCACAGAGAACTTGTATTTTACTAAAGACAAGCAGAAAGTAAAGATGACTACATGTTTGTTTTTTTTTCACCATTCAAGCATTGGTTCATATTGGTTTCACTCACCCACTTCCTTGAAGCACTCACAATTGCAGCGTGTGGCAAGTTTGCCAGGCAGCACCCAGAATTAGCTTAGCACAATGTCATGCTGGAAACAAGCACGGCCTGATGACTCTGGCAGGATGCCAAAATGGCTAAAAAAGATACAGTTGGTACCTGATTTTACTTCGACTAATCCTTTGCAGGGGAAATGTTCTGTAATAAAGACATATTTTCCCTTAGGGGAGTTACAGTTCATTGAGAATAGACCTGACAAAATAATGGGCAGCCTAGGGCTTAAACATGAGAGTAAAAAAAGGTATCCAGGAAAGTGTCTGCACAGATACAAGTTCAATTATCAAGAAATCAAGGAAAATAAGCTTCAAAAAGAGTCTCTGCAGTCTCAGCCAGTAACCCACAGAACTGGGATTGTTCATGATATATCCCCATCCTTGAAGAGCACTTGCCTCTTGTTTACTGTAACTGTGGCAGAAGTAGTTCCTACTTGTTATAAAAACCAAACCAAACCAAACCAAACAAACAAACAAAAAAAAACTCATTCTTTGCATATTTGAAACCAGCACTGTAATACATTTTGTTGTTTGCAATTAATTTTAAAGCCCATTTGAGGCTGGCTGGGTTATACTGCATTAGGCTGATTTGGGGCAGACTCCAAATACTGTTCAATTTCACATCTAGGTTCAGTTGTACTCGTCCCTGGGCACTGGTGCTGCTGCTCCTACCTTGACTTCTGGAGAAGCATCCATGCTTTTCCTGCTGTTTCTGGCAGGCTGTGTCTTTCTAGGCAGATGGAGATGGTTGGGTAACTGGAGGTCATCCGATGTTTTGTGGCTGTCTGCCACGTTGTACAGTGCTACTGTAGAATAACCTTTTGTATATGTGTCTCCATTTTCTTCCTTTAGTATACAGAAAAAACTCATCTTGTAATCAGGCCAATAAAGTAAATTACAGTGACTTGCAATTTAACAGCTGGAAAAACCCAGGTACCCTGTTACTGTCCTGCAGCCAGCAACATTCAAGAAACATTAACTGAATTGCCTAAACAAGGGGTGCAATCTATTAAAGATGTCTGGTACTGAGACTGAGCTTATCATTAAATCAAATTATTTTTCCATAGTAATATATATCATTTTAGGCCTAAAGAAAAAAAAAAAAATCACCATAGAAAGACAGCAATTGCTTCACAAGAAATCAGATCAATAAAGTGTCTAAGAACACATACACGTATTCTTAGCATTCTCCTATTGCTCTTAAGAAAGATAAATGTAAATGTTGGTTAATAAATGTAAAAAGCTACTACAAAGGCAGGGAAGTTAAAACAAAATTACTGACCTTTCCGGTGCTGGTAGAGCATCTGTGGAACTGGAATTTCCTGATATCTGGGCTTGCATCAAACTGAAACTTACCAAACATCGTTTTTTTTGTTGTTGCTGTTGTTTTGTTCGTTACATTTCCAAAATGTTATCTCACATGATTACCGTAAACTTCTAAAATATATATATATATAAATATAAATCAATTCTTGGCTTTCTTTTCTGATCTCTGCACTCCTGTGAGCCTGAAACAAACGTGTTATGCTCTGCACCAAATTAGTAGCCAGCTGACCAGCCAAGAAACACAGTTGTATCTCAGCTTTCATTAATGAGGTTAAAGGTTGGAATTTGTTTGGACAGATTTTTTTCTGCATATATGTAAATCAGTAGTATACCACAGGACTTTCTGCAGAGGTTGTTTCCATTTAAAATGAGAACACCAATAGGAAAAAAAATATTTTAAAATGTGTTCAAAAAAATTAGCGTGGGATTGATTTCAAGAAAGGGAACTCTGGGATAAATCTTGAAAGGTGCTAAATGAAAATGAAAGTTAACTACCTCAAGGAAAACTGACATATATATATATATATTTAATACAGAGCTCTTTTTGACCATTCTTTTATCAAGACAGTTTTTTGCTGCATAGAAATTTCTACTGATGACAGAATCGCAGGTGCAAAGTCATGGAATAATTAAGTTAGAAATAAGAAAAATTTATTGCTAGTTTGGTTTTAGCTAACAAAGTTACACATCATGAATGCCCTTGATTTGTTTATTTTTAATTTAATTAGTTCTATAACACTCATCATCATTTTCTGCCATCATGTTCAGTTCTGCCCCCTGGTTTTTTAATATGAATAATTTTCTGTTTATGGACTGAGCAAACCCTGCAGAATGCAAAGAGTTCTCTCACCTTCTGTTCTGCTAGCCAGCTGGAGCCAGTGGAGGTATTGATCTCTGCAGGACACCTCTGCAGGTATCTTTCTTTACCCAGGATTTATAAATAAGATTGCGATTACCTAATGTACCAGCAGAGGAGAAGAGGGCAATCCTTACTCTGTTCAGTCTGCTTCTATGAGTACAAGATCCAGTGGTAAGCCTAGAAGGTCTTTGAACAAGTCATCAGTCATCATAACAAATTACAAGTGAGTAATGTATATGACTTGAATTATAGGCACCAAACTTCCCAAAGGTGTTGCAACTGCTGGTCTGACTTCCCATCATTTATTACCAGATGGAAGGAGAGAGGGAGCCAGCAAAAAACAAATGTACAACTCAGTGAAAAGATGAAATTAATCCATGTAGTGTTCTCTGAGGCTGCCAGCCTGTCCTTGCAAAGACAAGCAGGAAGTAGAAGCAGAACCGAAGCCCTGCTGAAGCAAGTGAGTTTAAAACTTGCACTACAGTATCATCTAGGAGACCAGGCTGGCATAAAGCCAGTGCAATGCACTATAGCCAGTCACTGTGACTTTTGGAAACAAAAATGGCATGTCAGGTGGACTCAGCAGTCCTAATGAGGTGGCAGGTGAGACGGTGTCTGAGAGCAGTTTGTTCCAGACAGCTTGTTCCTGCATTCAGCACAAGGCTAATAAATGAAGAACAGAGAGTTGTGCAAGGAAAATGTGTTTGACTAAAGTCAATTGCACTTGATTCAAAGTAAACAAGGGAAAAAAGACTTGGCATGCTGGTGTTTTCAGGACAGTGTTTCTCCAGAGGACCATCAGTCTAACCCTGACTTAGATGCACAGATGATGTTCCCAAGTGAAGCACGGTGCAGGCACTTTGTTGTTGGATGTGCCCCAAACTCCAGCCTGTTTCTTTCCACAACCTATCTCGGAAGGAAAGCCCACCACTCAGTTGCTGTGTAAATCTACCCAAGTCTGAGCTGCTTGATCTATTGATCGATTACTTGAGTCCAACCAGGTGTCAGATACAGGGGAGACATGTAAATCCCCAGGGATGGAGCTGATAGAGGCTTTATTTTATATTGATGCAGGTGAATCCTCTTGATATGCAAACTTCAATGTCTGCTCTGTGAACAGGATATTCACCTACAAATGTCCTTATTAAGCTTTGAGCATTCAGCTTTGTACGTGACGATCACTGGCATTTGAAAAGCCATGTCCTGTACAATGTAATGGAACCTCTGTTATCACAAAAGTGGTGGTGTGTGTGGTTTTTCGTGGTTTTTTGTTTTTTGTTTTTTGTTTTTTTTTTTTTTTTAAATGCTGTGTTTTTACACAGGTATGCAGCTAACTAAACACATATATACATTACTTTACTGGCTCTTCCACTTCTCTGCCATGAAAATAGTAGCACTATTTGATTATTTAGTTTATGATAATAGTGTATATAAAAAGCTTTCATCTAACAGTGTACGATTTTTTAAATTAGCTCCATAAGGAACTACAGTGAATGAAGGCATTATACAGTATTAATTGTGCTTAGGTGAAAGTGAGAAAAATGAACTATTACATTTTCAAATGCTCAACATGTGATGCTATATGATCTTGGGAGAGGACTGGGACAAAGACAAAACAAAGGAGTTTAAAAATATTTGGTGGTGGGAGAATAGAGGTGGGGTAGCTGGGTCCTGTTAGCTAAAAGGCTTCAATTTAAAGATTGCCTGATGCTGTTAGGCACATGCTATATTTGGCTATGTTAAAAATCAGTCAGCCTCCAGCCTTCACTCTTACTCGCTTGACAGTTAACTTCTTTGCTAAAGAAATATTCTGCGGTTTTAGTGTTTCTCTATATGTAGTAACAGGACTGAAAATAAATATTGTGCTATTTCTGTGGTAATGCTACTGCTAAATGTGACTAGCCTAGATGAAGACAGGTTAGATTTCGATACGTAAAATAAAATATGCCCTTGGTGTATCAGTTTGCCAGCAGTAGCTGGCTGTACCAATCCCTGCTGCTGTCAACCTTTTCCATTGCCCATGAACACAAACCATTACAAAAGTTACTGCAGTTCTCAAGATAGCTAAGATTCTCTGATTCTTAAGTCCAGCAAGCTGTGTCTCTTTTTTCAGAGTGGAGGCAGGGGCAGTAGGTCATAACCATCACACCAAGGGAGATGCAGCATCATAGTGGAAAAAAAAAGGGGAGCACCTTGAGCACTCACCCCAGTACACACCTCCCTTGGCCAAGTCATGGTAGGTGCCAGACATCCCTGTCCACTTGCCACTCCTCGGGCTGCCATGCGACAAGGTCTCCACGTGTTTCATCAGTTTTCACCAGTGGCCCCAGGTGTCTGCCACCAGTCTGGTGAAGGGCAAAGTGCTGGGGAGCAGCCTGGACACCCAAAGCTGCCTGAGGCTGACAGATACCTGCAGGTCTGATGAGAAGGCAAGCAACGTGTTGCCCATCACCATGACTGTGTCCCTGTCCTGCTTGGCTATGGCAGAATGCATTTTCTTGCCTATAAAGGAAGGGCTTCTGACAGTCAGACCTCTTGCATTTGTTGATGATGGTATTGTGCTCTCATAATTCATCAATATTGGTCTGACATCTTAAGATCATCTGGTTGCTGAGGATACATCGAGTAATTGTAGAATCATGGAATCACAGAATAGTTTGGGTACAAAGAAACCTTAAATATTGCCTGATTCCAATGCCCCTGCCATGGGCAGGGACACCTCCCACTAGGCCAGGCTGTTCAAAGCCCCATCCAGCCTGGCCTTGAGCACCTACAGGGATGGGACATCCACAGCTTCTCTGGGCAGCCTGTGCCAGTGCCTCACCACTCTCTAAGAGAAAAAGTTCTTCCTAATGTCTAATCTAAACCTACCCTATTTTAGTTTAAACCTCTTGCCCTATCACTACATCCCCTGACAAGGAGTCCCTCCCCAGCTTTCCTGTAGGCCTCCTTTAGATACTGGAAGGCCACTGTAAGGTCTCCCTCAAACCTTCTCTTCTCCAGGCTGAAAAAGCTCAAGTCTTTCCATCTCTTCATATGAGAGCTGTTCCAGCACTCTGGTCATTTTTGCGGCCCTAAGATGACTTGCTTGCAGTATAAGCACATAATGTAGTTTGTTCTCTGTTTAGTGTGTATGAAGTGTTTGAAACATTTTCTAATAATACTTGTAGTGACAGTACTACTCATGACAAAATGTCTGGATTACAGTATCTCATAAGTCACTATAGTAAGCAGGGTGTGGACTCCTAGAGAAAAGAAAACAACCCTCACTGTCTGGTAATAATAAGCCTAAAAACTCAATTTGTAATACATCTAGGCCTAAAGACTTGCCTACAAAATCTAGATAAAAATATGTTATATGACAGTTACTAGATGGCTTCCTGCTATGATTTAGGCAAGGTTGTGATGTATTGCAGGGAAACACTAGGATATGATTGCATGTAGGGGAAAGAGTTCTGTCTCGTTTTTTAAGGTGATGAATGATGTGTGCTGCTTTAACTTCCTTTCTTTCAACTTTCAGAAGGAAATGAGCATCCTGTTCAGCACTCTTCTATTCATGGCATTATCTCAACCTTCTTTGTTTAGGCAAATTCAATGTGGATGGCCTTGATTCAGAGTAATATTTACATCTTACCTATGTAAGTTAATAACTAGATGGGAAAAAAAAAAAAAAAAAAAAAAAAAAAAAAGATTTTCCTAAACTGTTGCTCGATTTTTTATTTATTTTTTTGTTTTTAATGTAAGGTAGAAACTTAACTTTCCACCAGGGTCAAAAAGCCCTAGGATTCCCTGTAAAAGAGATTTAATTACATTGACTGTCAAATCTTCTGGTGCTGCCTGACATCATTTACACCAAATGCAAATGTACTCTCTTGCAGGCTGAAGATTATGTTCATTATTCTTGACTGCAAAGGTTTTAGCTTTACTTTGTTCTCATTTTATTACTGGTTGCAGTTCTTAGCTCCTAATAGTAATACTCATTTGGGTTTATGTTTTGCACAAGGAGGTGCTGCTCCATTGAGACTGCAGAGGGAAGACACTGTAAGGTATCATGCAGAGTGTTGTTAATTAGAGCTAACACTAAGAAAGTAGCACAGGTGATCTTGCATCCCATTAGATGCTGGGAACCCCATCTATCCATCATTGCTTCTGTTGAAACAGAGGGGCCTTCTGCTGAGAACTTCTTGTTGTCCTGTTAAGGACAAGGCTCTGTCACCAGCACCCAGTGAGAGCAGGCTGCAGGCTCCTCCGGTACATGTAGCTGGTGAAATTAGTGCCATGGCCGTGGGGTGTGTGCAGCACAGCACAGCTGGGAATCCACTGTGGATGTGCAGCACAGCACTGCACAGCACAGGTCTGTGCATACTCAGGTTAACTTCATCACAGATTCCTTGATGCAGGATGGTCTTCTGGTCAGGACCAATACAGCTCCTGCTGTCAGAAATAGTGTGGCCAGCAGGGCTAGGGAAGTGATTGTCCCTCTGTACTCAGCTCTGGTGAGGCTGCACCTCAAATACTGTGTTCAGTTTTGGGTCCCTCACTACAAGAAGGATATGGAGATGCAGCAGCATGTCTAAAGAAGGGCAATGATGCTGGTGAGGGGTCTAGAGAACAAATTTTAGGAGGAGCAGCTGAGGAAGCTGGCATTGTTTAGCCTGGAGAAAAGAAGGCTCAAGGGAGACATTATCATGTTCTACAATTACCTTACAAGAAGCTGTAGCAAGGTGGGGATTGGTCTCTTCTCCCCAGCACCAAATGATAAGATGAAGAAAATGGCTCTAAGTTGCACCAGGGGATGATTCAGTTGGGTATTAGGAAGAATTTCTTCACTGCAAGGGCTGTGAGGCATTGGAACAGGCTGCCCAGGGAAGTGGTTGAGTCACCATCCCTGGAGGTCTTCAAAACACATGTAGATGTGGTGCTTAGGGACATGGTTTAGTGGTAGACTTGGCAGTGCTAGGTTAAAGGCTGGACCAGGTGATCTTAGAGGTCTTTTTCAACCTAAGTGATTCCATGGTTCTGTGCTGCAAGACTTCAGGAATCTCAGCTTGTGTTTTGGTTTTCATGGTCTTTCTCCAAGTTCTCCCAATACAATTTAATTACAATTTAAATATTGTGTTATCAGTTAACCTCTGGTGTGTGGTAATGTTTATACCCTAAACCTCACAGACTGAAATGGCTTGTCTTACTCTTGCTATGACAGCATAGCTGGGAAAGCTCTGGGTCATCATAATCCCATCAGTCAGTATTGTCAAAGTTCATTTTTTTTCTCTGCTTTACCTTATATGTGCCTCACCACCTGGCAATTTATATTTTCCAGTAATTTAGCTTATGTTTTCAGAGTGCTAATTAATGGCTTTCAGCTCTGGGAAAGACGTTCTTTTATTTTTAACTCCAGCAAGCTATTTTTTGAATGATTGTATGATTTTATGTTTCTAGTTCCAAACTATTTAATTCTACATTATTTTCTCTTTTTATGTTTGTCACTGTAACAAAATAGACTCTTCAACTCACTTGCCTTTCATGCTTTGCCCTGTAATTTTTGTGATGTTGATTCTTTGGAAAAGGTGGTCAGTCTTCCCATTTGTTTATACAATAACTGCCACAGTAGGATATTTGGATAAAGTTACAATGAAGTCAATAAACCATTGATATTTTGCTGCTTTTCATTTCCTGTAGACAAGTTAATCTTTAACTCTAACAGCAGACATACTGTGGCTTTTTTTTTTTTTTTTTTTTTTTTTTTTTTTTTTTTTTTCCCAGTGCGTGTTTACTGAGTGAACTACTGCACCTGGACTGCATTCTCCTTTAGAATGGATCCACCACATTTTCTTCTCTGTTCTACTGCATTTCTAAGGTTTACGTGGGCTTCCCTTGCCACTTGACTTTTTGCATGAGCCCTCTTTTAATGTGCTGTAGAGCAGTGAAACTGCATCACCAAACCTCTCATCTGCCCAGCAGCTGCAGTCCTTATGGCAGGAATAATGGAGGATAATAATAAAGGATCAAATGGGCTCTGAAGCTCTGAAGCCAGGATCTGCAGTGGAACTGCAGGACTGGAGTTGATTCAGTGAAAAAAGGTGCCAAAGACCTCTTGAAAAATACTTAAGTATTACTTGACAGCGTTTTATCCAACAGTCTAATCCTTTTCAGCAGCTTGCCATTCAGCACTCAGAATGACATTTTTTGAATAAACCTGCCATTTTCTTTAATAAAGGCAGAGACTCTTCCATCTGACAACAGACAAGAAGTTTAAAAGGCGGAATAGTGTTGTGGTTTTCTTTTTTTCTTTTTTTTTCTTTTTTCTTTTTTTTTTCTTTTTCTTTTTTCTTTTTCTTTTTCTTTTTCTTTTTCTTTTTCTCTTTTTTTTTTCCTGTTTTCTTTTTCCTTTTTTCCTTTTTTCTTTTTTCTTTTTCTTTTTTTTTTTCTTTTTTTCTTTTTTCTTTTTCTCTCTGGCTGAAGCTCTTTTGTGTAAGAATTTTGAAGTTGATAGCTTTTCTTTCTGAAACTCTGCAGAATCCAGGGTACTGTAGCTTTTAATGCTTTGTTGTGTTTTGCTTCGTTGCGTTTTCCTGACTTCTGCCTGGCATTTTTCAGATGTCAGTTTTTGAGACTTGCCATCAGCCTGAGCCACCCCCAGCCTGGTAGCCTGCATTTCATACTGGTTTGTACCACAGCCTTAGAGAGAGACACAACAAACCTGACATCAGAAAAATATCAGAGCAGTACTTCCTCCTTTGCTCTTACAAAGTGTGGACAGCATGCAATATCTGCACAGAGCTCAGCAGACATCAGTGCAGACGTACATGTTGGACTGCATTTACAGACAGCACTTACAGTGTTTTTCCAGAGGGGCTTTGAAAGTATGTGTCTGAGACCTGCAAGTCTTTGGCTTTTGGTACTGAAACTGATCCCCTGCTTGGAGCTGATGTGCCAGGCTCCATAGAAAGCACAAACAGAAGGCACAGGGAGAGATCAGCTGCACAGGGCTGGCCAAGGCACAAGTGTGGAGAAGAGCTTGTCTTTAACCAGCTCATCTCTACAGAGCTGGTGACTTCTTCGGAGAAGGGATCAAATTCCTGTGCAGACAGATATGTATTCCCCATTCACTTACAGACAGAGGGCACGTGGGTTCTTTTATAAACTGGGGGCATGTGGCTCTTCTAAGATGGAGAGGAAGGAAGGGAAGGGGAGCTTTCTCTGTGTGCCTACAGCAGATTGTGTAGACTTAAAAATGAACAAGGCACTGAGCTGTACAGCATGGGCCAGGCCAGGTGGAAGGAAATATATAGATTTACATCTTCAGGTAAAGAATAAGTGTTCAAAGACGAGAGATTGATGGAGAAGATACCTCTTAATTTATATCCCCATGGCAGGGATATCATTTTGGGCAGAACTATCCACGTTCAAACATCAGATGCTTTTTTGTGCTTTTGCCAGCCTTGGCTGGCAACATGAAATACAAAATGTATTATGTAGTCTACTGCCACTTAAGTGGTACTACATATGGGAAAGAAAATTGGAACTGGTGCTGTTACTTGAAAAAAAATCATTCCGTGGCTACTTTGTGTTGCTGATATTTTTCCTTCCATTACTCTTGCCAACAAATGACACAGAGCGCTCTGCAGAATGTGAAATCATTTTGGTGGAATTATTTTTCCCTTTTTTTTTTTTTTTTTTTTTTTTTTTCCCAGCAATTAGAGAGTGGCACTCAGCAAACTTTAACCAAATACTGCCTTCTGCCAAAAAGCATTTATACTACTGTAACCCCAATGCATACATATAAAGAGTAACACTTCCATTGAGATATTCTGATCTACTACTTCTAAGAAAAGCTTTCACATGGGATTGTTAGACTATATATTAAAGATCAAGTTCCCATCAAAGGTCTGCATAATGTGGTTTCTCAATCTAAAGTGTCCCAAGTACCTGCTCCTGCCCAAAGAGATGATCACCAGCTACCCACTCACACACACACATGCATACACCTAACCTTTTTTACAATAGGATTTTAAAGGATCATGCAAGCTAAGCGATACAGAACTTCTTAGCCAAGAGGCAGCATGCATGGAAATAATCACACAAAACAGATTTGCTTTCCTGCAGTTTGTCAGTATAGCTATCTTTACAACAACTTTTACATGGACAAAAGCCACGTATCTTCTTAGAGCCATACAAAAGAGAAGATTGACCTGATTCCCCTTCATGTCTGAAAGATGACCTGGACCAGCATAACCTGCTTTCCTCCTGACTGCACTCCATGAAGGAGTGGGAAACATCTCTTACCATCCCAGTGTTCTATCACACAAATTAATTAGTCTGTGGCATCCCTTGAGAATGTGAACAGAGGCCAGTGTTGGCCACAACAGTACTGCACCATTTCCCAGCCTATTATTATTATTATTAATTATTATTATTATATTTATTTTATTATTACTATTTTCAGCTTCAGCTGCATTAGTTGATCCTCTGAAATACAACTGCCAGTAATGGGCAGGTATCTTTACATTATGTGCAGTATGCAGCCTGCCCATCTCAGCCTGTAATCCTGCTATTAATGTAAGCTAACTTTTAACCAGCTTTAATTGCAGGCAGATGTGGCTGGCTCCTGTGAAGAGAATAGTAATTTAGAAATAATGCAGGAGTCCCCCCAGGTCATAGATGGCACAGCTTCTCTGGGCAGCCTGTTCCACTACTTAGTTATCCTGCCAGGGAGGCTTTGCCCCTTCTCTCCATCTGGAAACTGCCCTGTTTCTGTTTGTGGCCACCACTGGCAAAGGGCCTGGCATCTGGTACCCCCTCAGAGGCACAGGAGATACCTCCAAGCTGCCTTTCTCCAGCCTAGCTCCTGACGGCTCTCCTCACAGGGTTCTATTGAAGCCTTATTTATGTACATCCAGACCAATAACATCTACTTCCCATCCTCATCCACAAATACCGTCATTTTATCACAGAAGATTATCCAGTCAGTCAGACACGACTTAGCCTAGGTAAATCCTTACTGACTGTTTTCAGTCACTGTCTTTTCCCTTGTGTCCTTGCTCATGCACAAGAGTTCATGCTCCATCCATGATTTTCCCAGGGACCAAAGATGACACCAACCAGCCTGCAGTTCCCCAAGTTGTTCCTTTACCCTTTTATTGAAGATGGGGACAACGTTCGCTTTTCTCCAGTTACTGGGGGCCTCCTCTCACCACCACGACCTACTACAGCTGATGGAGACTGGCTTCGTGAGGATGTCAGCCAGCTCCCTCAGCACTCGTGGGTGCAGCACAACAGGTCCCACGGGTGTGGATAAGTCAAGGGCCCACATGGAAAGCACCAAAAATACCTCAGCTTCTGTCATTAAATCATCCCCTCCACCATCCAGCAGCTGGTTCAACTCTGCTGTCTGAAAGTAGCTTGTGACTAGTGCTGAACCACTAACTGTAGTGTCTTAGACAGAGCTATGTGAAGTATTTTGATATGTTGAGTGTCATTCTGTTCCACCATAACTGTCATTTTCCACCATTTGCTACTTTTAACATGTTTTTAATTTTTTGAGAGACTGTTCCAGCCTGTGTCATTCATCTTCAGTTTGATGAAAGGCCCCCTTGTGAAGGATTTTCCCTCTCATTTAAAAAAAAAAAATCCATATGTGGCTATTTTTAATGCTAGAAAAAAGCTTAGTTGGTGGAAGTTTGTCATAACTTCATGCAAATTAACTGAAGTATATGGATTACACAGCTGAGCTGCCAGTCTAGCAGATATAATATTTGCTGAGTGCTCTTCAGGCTATTGGTAAAAA